TTGATTTGACTTGTCAGTTTTATAAATATATTTGCATTTCTTCCGTTACAAAACAAACTTACAAAGCATTTATGGAAACATTTAAGATTAACTTCGACCTCCGGGGGGGTCTTACTATGGAGGAGTGGATTGAGCAGTGCCTATCTCCAGAAAAAAAAGCACCTAACGACGACATGCAGAGCTACGTGAAGAGCAGGTAGACCAACTGGGAAAGTACCACCATTCAAAAGCTTTCTGATGCGGGTCTTGAAACAAAGCAGAGAAATTATGACCGTTAGTGGCCACAGGTGCGAAAGCTCTCTCCAGAGCTACTGGAAGCCGAATCTCGGGGACCCGAGAAAGTGGAGCAATATTCACCCACACGTCGGGCCGAACCACGCCCCTTAGCTGTGATATAATGAGCATATACCACGGCCTGTCGTGAGCTATTGCTTAAGTATTATTCACTTGTTAATAAGCACAGTTAATACATTCAGTCAAAGTTGAAATTTGTTTCTTGCAAATCTTAGTTGATACAAAAAGCCCAATAACTTATTTGCATAACAAGCTTGAAATATACCCTTCCTATTTCCCCTTTATTATAATCAATTTGACGTTCCTGTTTTAAGGAATGAGCGGCCAACACTTTTTGTAACAAAATAAATGAAACCCTATGGAGAGCTGTGATGTAGACTGTTTTTTTTTTCAAAGCATATTCAAGTATCAAGCATAATGTACCTACATTTGATTGATTTTGCTAACTTATAACTTAACTTATGAGGCAATATACCTCAGCTCTAGCTAGCTAGTGGCCCAGCCTTTTGCATGTTTTTCTGTCTGTGGCCCTCAGTGAAAAAACGTTGGACACCCCTGGCGTATAGTAGGCCTATATATCAGCAGTACATAGTACGCAATGGACATACTATTGGTTTTGAGTACTTCAAATATTCTTAAGCGTACTAACTAGCATGTTGGTATGGAATTTGGTTTGCAGCCCAACTGTTGACCTCAACTTAGTTTTTATGTATTTTAGCTGATACCTGACAGCCAATCAGAGAGCTGGATTCTGATGTGGAGAATTTTGCAGCTTCTCTGTCAGTGGGACTCCAACAGTAAAGTTATTTTTAACTGTGTGTGTGTTTTTTTTTTTAGGATTGCAACAGCTGCCATTCCACAGGGACGATGCCGTGTGATGAGTGTCATGGAGATGGATCTGTAAGAAGCCTCCAACCAGTCAATCATTATCCCATCAGCTACAATAAGCTACAAAGTGATTGAACTGACCTAATGTGGATTAACTGTTCATGTTAATATGTCTGTGTGTGCAGAAAGTCTGCTGGGTGTGTAACGGCTCTGGGAAGAGAGGCGAGGAGAGCTGCACTCAATGTGACGCTTCAGGCAAAGAAAGGTCCTGAGGGGGGGTCGGGAAGTCCAGCTGCTTATGACACTTCAATTAAAAATCCATGTTCCCCTCTTACATTTTTAGAGACTAAAATAGGTAAAACTATCCAGGGTTTTCAAAATGACAGATGCAAATAAACAGCTACCTTATAAATAATACAACAGCAGAGCAGCCAGCTGGAGAATCTGTTGACCCTGCAGACAAATCGTATTTTAGTCCGTGAAACCCCTGAGTCAAATGTTTAATTTGTGATATTGGCCGATATAAATACAATTTAATCAATGTTTTAAAGAAAATTGCAACCATAATAATGATCTCCTATGATACCTGGAAGAGGCAAATCTCAAACACACAGTGTAAAGACAGAAAATCGCCATTTCACTATAACTTTATTTGGACAGAAATGTAAAGCTCCTTCAATTGTAATTTGTTATCCAATAAACAAAAGTTAAATCAATGACTTGAAGATAATCAATCGAAAAACGGATTTTATTTGAAAAATCTTCGGAAAGTTAGTGAACTAGGACACAAAACACAGCGGTATGGCCCCTTTAAATGACACTATACAGTCAGTACACTTTGATAAGATTGAAAAGAAGATTGTGAAACTTGTCTCATATCTGACTGTGTTTATGTTCGTGTGTAGGTGTGATAAGTGTGATTCTAGAGGGACGAAGGAGTGTGAAACCTGTGAAGGAAAACGACAACTGCTGACCTACATCCAGCTTAAAGTGGAGTGGTGAGTACTGATACAACTTTGATATGGGTCCTTGGAAGAACAGTCCTTAAAGAGCTTTGCTGCTGCCTTAAAGAGTTTCAAGGGGTCCTTGATGATGTTTCATGGTTTCTAGGAGTGACGGTGAAAGTTCAAATGGTCATTGAGGATGATGTGAAGGGTTTAGGCCAGGGGTCTGCAACCTTCTTGACCAAAAGAGCCATTTTGCTCCTTTTTCCCCAAAAGTTTTTGTCTGGAGCCGCAAAACATATTTCATAGCTTGATAGCTAATAAAGTTGTATTTATTGCTATATCAGACTAAAACTACAGTTTGTTTGCATTTATTAGGCTATTTATTACATTATATAAAACTGTTAACCTCTAATAAGAAACAAAGAACTCCTATAAGGAGAATTAAAAATAATACACAAGCCTACTTTAAAATAAATTAAACACAGCACTTGGGGAGTCCTCTGCACATTTGAAGGAAAAAAAAAAATTAAAATGGGCCCACTTTGAAATAAATAAAACATATAGCTGCACCCTAAAAAGAGTTAAAGGTAGGGTAGGTAAGAATGGAGAAACCAGCTCGAGTGTGCTAGAATTTGAAAATACACAACCGGAAAAAATATGCCTCTTCCTTCAGACTTTCTTACAGAGCCCCTCCTCCAACACACACAAACGTGCATCAACAATGAGGCCAAGAGATAAATGTGTGCACAGATGGAAGGCTGACAGGCAGGTAGGCCATCCAGTTATTTTAGCCGGGTCGGCTAAAATGATTGGTCGTGCTTTTTACAGCGCTACGGCTTCCAGAGATTAATTTTTGTATGTATTTATTGTCAAAGCATTTAATATATTCATTGCTATCGGGACGTTAAGAGCATTCCATGGAATATAACAAAAAGTGTTTTCTGAAATAAATTACATACCCCATTGAATTATGACTGAAGATTGTCAGCTGTCTTCCTCTCCCTTGTTGTTCCTCGATACGTAAAGGCTGCAGCACCGTTGACAACTTCTCTCTCCATATCAAACATACCGGTAAACCAGCATCGTTTGCTGTGAAAGCATATAACTCTGTCCACACAGAATTAAATCCTGTGTTCCTCCGGTACTTTTCTTTGATTTATCCATAGTTCGCTCATCGAGCCGGGGATCCCCGCGAGAGCGCCTCCGAGAAAAGGCGCTCGCGCGGGACAGTAGCAGGATGTGACGCATATTTTAGTTGACCTAATTAAAACCGTTTTGTTTTTTATTTATGTGTCACAGTATCACCTCAAAATACAAGATACGAAACATTTTCAACCATGCAACAAAATATAAATAGTCCTACAAATACTTTTATTTTATTTCCTTCTTATTTTTGTCTAAGCTCAAGGGAGCCAGAGCAGAGGGCTTGAAGGGCCGCATGCGGCCCGTGGGCCGCGGGTTGCCGACCCCTGGTTTAGGCGGTCCTTGAGGAGGTTCCCTGAGATTGAAGATATTCTGGTGGTCTTTGATGTAGTTCTGTGGGCTCTTATAAAGATTCAGAGGGTTGTTGTTGGTTCCAGAGGTCCTTCATGATGTTTCATAGTCCTTTAGGACGTTTTTGATAGTTTTAAAGAGTGTTGAGCAGTTCTTTCGGAGATTTTCTAAAGTGTTGATGTTTTATCGGGTATAGTAGTTAGGGTTAGTTAGTGGTTGGATGTTCAGGAGGTCTTTGAGGAAGGAGGAGGTTAAGAAGACAAACTATTTAGCGTCAATAAACTGCCTTTTTAGATACTGTCTGAGCTAAATCTTTTGTTTAACATCTCTCATGATATAATAAGGAGGATGCATTGATTTTCATAGTTTGGGATATGTTAGAAATTAGCAAAACAATTTGAAATCATCAGTTTAAAACGAGTACAGGAGCATGTATTTGCCTTATTAGGTAAACATGAGAAAATGCCTCACTATGATGGAAAATATTTAAATGTACTTTTTGGAGCAATGGCTCAAGTTGAAACCCTGATTTTAAAGAATGCGTGATTTTTGCCGTTTCAGACACATTATCAAGAGTCAGAGTGTCTGAGATTTGTCTAACAGTCTATTATAAACATTTTACAGCAGCCGAGATCAAACTTCTAAATGTATGCCATATGGATGAACACAGATTAAAAAGCCACACTTTTTACTAGTAAGACAAGTGGGTTAAGAGGGTCTAATTGGTCCTGAGGAGGTTCCCTGTTTCCTTAAAGATGTTTCAATGGCTAATGAATTTGAATCTGACCCAGTGTGGGTGAAAAGCAGCACAGACAGATTGTTTAATGCCATACATTCTGACCCAAGGTAGCTTCCCTGTAGTTTGAAATTCAAAGAATTTGTAGGCAGTTGTGTGTCTCTTTAGTGACCTCTGGCTGAGTAAAGACAAACCTACACCATGTGAATTTAAATTAATACATACTGTACTCTGTATCCGGTTCAAATAACTGATAACATCATGTGTACAAAGCATATAGCTCCCTGCGTGCGTGCGTGTGTGTGTGCGTGCGTGTCTTTGTGTGTGGAAACATGTTTGTTTATATATGTGTATCTGTGTTCAGGACTAACAATGTGGAGGACCACGTGGTGCAGCAGGACTCTGGTCTGGAGGCCGATGATCTTCGTTCAGTGACCGGGAAGGAGCTGTTTAAGAACAACCAGTACCTGGTACGCAACACACACTCACACACATTTACACACATTACAGCATATTTCATAATATCCTGAAGGATACTCTGTCTCCATATCTGACTTCCTTCATTATGTTGTTCAGTATATAAGTATAAAGACATGGTACGGTGTTTTTTTCTTCTCTAAGTTTACCGTGTTTTTGCACAATACATCTTATACTACATTATGCTCACACATTAACATCTACATTTCTGATGTTACTGACGTATGCACTATATATTCGTTGTTATTTCTTTACTTTATTACAATAAATACTTGAAATACTTTAATTTACCAGCATCTTTTTTGTGGTTTCCCTAGGAGCAGCGTTATGAAACATGTACATCATAAACAAAAGTGCAGTTATCTCTCTTCAGACAGGTGTAGCAGAGCTAAAAGGAAATGTTTCCTTTAGATTGTGCTACAGGAATGTTCATGTGTTAATTAAAGAATGTTGCTATTGTTAGCTGTTTGTTTTATTGTCAGTGTGTAAACCTCTCTCTCTGGCTCCTCTCAGCTCTACCCGCTGCTCGGCTTCCCCAACCAGGCCATCTCTGAGGCCTCTGAGAAAATGGTCCGAGAACACCAAAGCAAGTACGCTCAGAACGCCAGGATCCTGCAGCAAGTAAGTCATCAGACTGCTGACTGACACATTCAGGGAAAAAGAGGAAAATATATAATAATGGAAGAGAAAAAATATAATCTCTCTTCTTTAGAATCAGGTGAAAATATGGATATCCGTGTCAGGTGTCTCCAGAGCAGAGATGGGCATTGCCATTTAATTTTCATAGATTGTCATTATTTTCTACTGTCATCTTTTAACCAACATCATTACCAGATCATAACTACTAAATGTTCATTCTTTTTTTAAGGTTTTAACCTTTTTAAAATGTCCAGTTGTTTTAATAATGTCACTCTTTGACTAAAAGGAAACACAACAATTTATTAAAGCTATAGTTACCTGCTAGAGTGTATGCATTGTCATTGGTGTATTGCATATATACTTTTTAAAATATATATTCATATCTGTAAGGTCGATGCAAGTTTATTTATACAGAACATTTATACAAGGCAATTCAAAGTGCTTTAGAAAAATAATGTACACGCATGAAAACCTATTGTAAAAGGAACAAATTATAAAATTAAAATGTTTAAATGCATTTTAAAACTTTCATTTAGAAACCAAAACAAGATACAATAGAATAAGAAAGATATAAGTTAGAGTGTAATTAGAGATATGAAAAACTTTTTGTTCATCTATTATGCAAAATCTACTTTTTCAATTATGTTTACATCAACATGTGTCCCCTCTGTGTAAAGAGATTCAGGAAAAAATGTTTCTCTCTTTTTGTCCTGATCCATTTACAGGACTGTCTCAGAAAATTAGAATATTGTGATAAAGTTCTTTATTTTCTGTAATGCAATTAAAAAAACAAAAATGTCATACATTCTGGATTCATTACAAATCAACTGAAATATTGCAAGCCTTTTATTATTTTAATATTGCTGATTATGGCATACAGCTTAAGAAAACTCAAAAATCCTATCTCAAAAAATTAGAATAGTTCCTCAGACCAAGTAAAAAAAAAAGATTTATAACAGCAAAACACAATCAAACATTTGAAAATGTCCATTAATGCACTCAGTACTTGGTTGGGAATCCTTTTGCACGGATTACTGCATCAATGCGGCGTGGCATGGAGGCAATCAGCCTGTGGCATTGCTGAGGTGTTATGGATGCCCAGGATGCTTCAATGGCGGCCTTTAGCTCATTAGCATTGTTGGGTCTGGTGTCTTTCAGCTTCTTCTTCACAATACCCCACATATTCTCTATGGGGTTCAGGTCAGGGGAATTTGCAGGCCAATCGAGGACAGTAATGCCATGACCATGGCATTACTGTCCTCGATTGGCCTGCAAATTCCCCTGACCTGAACCCCATAGAGAATATGTGGGGTATTGTGAAGAAGAAGCTGAAAGACACCAGACCNCGTTGATATTTGAGATTTCAATAAATAAAAAAATAAAAAGGAAAAATAAAAAAAAGATGAACATCCGAATAACGAAATTGAAACCCGAATAGTGCTCCAACGAACAAATATTTGGATACAGCCCTAGATATTTGCATGCAAGTCTGAAAGTTTACATCGTGCTATGACTAGTAACTAGATAGGAAAACATGTGAACATTTTGAGTGTATTTGTATTCATATTTGGTACGTTTTGACTTCTCCGGTGGACAGTGCGCTGGTCAGCCACTCCATGTCTCGCAGTTTGAACGGCAGCAGGACAAGGCTGACGCCGCGCGCCACGTCCACCGCGCTCTCCGGGTACAGGAAGTGATGCGTGGTCCGATTCCCAACGTCTTTCTCAAACCCTCGAGTCACTGCCTTGTTCATCCTGTTGAGGAGACAAGTCAGGAGGAAAATAAATAGGCTGGAGGAGACAGATGAAAGAGGAGGATGAGACTAATGAAGGACGTTGAGAAAGAAGAAGAAGATGTGGAGGACAGTGGAGAGGATGAGGAGGCAGAGGATGAGGAGCAGAGGATAGAGAGGATAAATTAGGACGTACCGGATTACAGAGTTGTGGGAATTGATCAGGTCTCCGTTTCCTGAGTCCCGCAGGTTGCCGGAGTTTCCGACTACCGCACAACGACGGCAACTGGAGGGGAGGGGCCTGAAGTCCACAGTGGGCGGGGAGATGACCTTAAACATGTCGGACATCACCTTCTCTAACGTCTGATCATTGCCGGCCCTCTGGAGACTCTGTGGAGAAATACAGCATGTTGCAATATTTTATTAATATATAGCTTTTCTCAAAATACACTCAACATCTCTAAAAACGTTTTTTCTTCATTCATGTTTTTGTTTTATGATGTTAAGGTGAGGCAAGCAAGTTGATGAATATAGATTGAAGTGCTTTACATTAGAAGTTAAAAGCGTCTAGACAAAATTTAGAAGAAATACAGTCATTTAAAAAGCCAAGAAAATAGAAATACAATTAACCAAAAATAGATTAAAGAAATACAATACCAAAAGTTACAGTGCAGTGTTAGATATGAATAGTTATTTGATTCACACACACACACACACACACACACACACACACACACACACACACACACACACACACACACACTATTTTCACTGGATCAGACTGATGATGTTAGCAGTCTGAACCCCCCCCCCCCACTGCCCCCCTTTAATCTACTAAATGTTTCTGCAGCAGGACGCGATCTATAAATGCAGGACACAGACTCATCTGTCTCTTCAGACTGTGGCTGTCTTCTAGAAAAGCCAATTCAAGACTTTTTAAATGTTTTATATTTTGAAAATAATGACTATGTACTGATAAGCTCTGTAAAACCATCATGCAGGACATTATACATTGGTCTTTGGCATTCTAATCACACATATTTGATCTGTGATCTGTGATCAGCTGATATAACCCAATTCAATGCTTCCAGTGTACAGCCTGCAATCATTCTGTGTGTTATTGCTCTAACATGCAGTTATATTTATCGGATTAGCTTAACTGTTGGTGTAAAACATCAAGATAAATATTTTAGTTATCATTCATTTATTTGGTGCTTGTGGTATAAAACTATGCACTTTAGATTAAATGTCATAAATGGTTCCCAAAGCGCTCGGCCACTAATTATCGGCTGATTTAAATAGTAATCATAGTAATAGGCTGCTCTTTGATTAGCTTTGAGCAACACAGCTGAACATACAAGCACAAACCGTGGGAAACTTGTTGTTGCAGATAGTTATGGCGCCTGTCTGGTCTACTATCTATATACTTTTCTATCAGTTGTGAACTTGTGACCAAATTGTGTCAGACGCACAAACGCACACAGAAACTAGAAATGTGGCTACAAATGTTAGATTGAGTTTTAGAATTAGAACAAAAATAGAGTTGAATGCTGCAGATACATTTTTTTCAAATAGACACGATGAGTTGTGATCATGCCATGCTTCAAGTGATTGGTGATAGGAACCCAACATTCAAGTTTTGACTGCACCTTTCATTAAAATCCTTAATTTCTGTGTGTAACATTTGAATTGTTTGGCTTATTCGTAGCTAATGTGCTTGCACGATTCTTCCTGTTCTAAATCTCTTCATGCTTTATTGCACTTATTGTACTTTCTTTTTTTTTTAAATAAAACAAGCAGCCTAATGAAATGTAAAAAATAGTTTTAAAAACATTTAAAGAATGTAAAGTACACATTTTCTCAGATGTTTTCATTATTAGCAATTGCATTTGACTGCTTTTGTCCCTCACCAGCCACCATGCGAGCGCCTGGGGTTCCAGGTTGTTGTCGGTGTCCCGGAGGACGGGCTGCTGTTTGGGGTCGTAGCGTCGGCTGAACCAGTCCGACCCCCCCAGCTCTGAAATACAGGACTCAGTACAACCACACAACCTGACAGAGGAGGACACAGAGGAGTCAGACAGGGACAAAACAGGGAATCATGGGATGCAGAGTCTGTGACCTTGTGCGTCTTACCTTGTGTTACTTTGGGACATTTTAAAAGGCCTCTCCTTGGCTTTAGGTTGGGTGATGATGGGAGCTGGGGGGGTCCTTGGAGGGTCAGGGGTCGGATCAGCAGGAGGCGCCGTGTGATCAACTACTGCAAACACAAACAGACAGAGAGTCAGAGAACAGTGCATCATGGGAGATCTGCTAACATCATTACCATCTGCTGCTGTACTCCTGCTACTACTAAGATGCTGCTAATAATATTATAATGTTAATATTAAATATGATTCTGAAATGTGCTATTCTACACAATAGGTACTTTTACTTTTTGTACTTTGAGTATAATTTGTCGGCAATACTTTTATAATTTTACTTGAGTAAATATTAGGATAACACAACTAAAGCTGCTGCTACTACTATAGCTTTTGATTATATTATTTGTACAACAAATGCTATTTTTGTACAGTTTACAATGGTATGAAAACTGTTTTAATTTTTGTCCAACTTCGGTTGAAGTTCAAAACATTTACAACATAAGGTCAGTTTTTCCTCAGAAAGTGTTTAATCCACTTATAGGACCCTTCTGAAACACAACAAAAACAGCATCTGGTGGAGACAGAAATTAGCGTGTGAATGACACCAAAACAAAGCAGCATAGTTTAGGCTGGAAAATGCTTACAATGTTACAGACATTGCATTCAACAATTTCCGCGTTACGTTTTTTTTTGTGTAAATCTGCAATTTAAGGGAGGGGTACAACCCTGCAGAAGCACAATACAATACATTGTGGCAGTGTTCTGGGAAACAAAAAGGCCTCATTTAGACCAATTTGAAAACCAATTGTACCGAAATATTGTGGATTTACTTTTTGACAAACTCCTCACCTGTCTCCCTGCCGGTGGGCGTGGTCCAGCTGATTAGTTGCAGGCTTAGTGGCAGAGATGGGAAGTGTCTCTTTGGAATGCCCTGACTGGCGAGCATGAGGAAGAGGAGGGCAGTGATCATCAAGGCAACGCACAGCTTCTTCCTCAACAACATGGCTGGACGGAGGATGAGTAGGTGGTGTTGGGAGGAAGGTGGGTTTGGTTGTGAGCTGTCAGAACTTTTGCTACATCAGCATATTTGGACCCTGTCATCTGGACATGTCAGTCCATTCGGTTGTGTCTTCCCTCAGCTTCATCTCCACAAAAAGTCTGAACCCTCCGTCCTCTGGTCCTCGCTGCTCTCTGATTGGTTGAGAGAGATCAAAGGTCCCACCTGGGTAAGGCAGAAAAGCACAGAGAAATCAGCATCATCCAAAATAACACAGAGAAATACTATATTTGTCCAGTTAGAAATGGTAGAGGAGTAGAGTAACAGATATAAATGAAGAGGCAAGCACATACAAAATAAATAAATAAGTACACATCCATGGTATAAAGAAATAATTAACAGTATTATAAAAGTGAAAATATAAAAGTAATGAGGTAGCTGCAAGTGACACTGACAACATTAACTGAGAGTAAAATGTGCAGTGCACATAGCACAGTTATCTCTCAGTGGTGTTCATTCTGAGTATTAAGAGGAAACTAATTTACATTTGCTCAAAGTAAATAATGATTTCAGGTTTTTCATTCAAATGTTTTATTAAAGGTTTTCAGAGAAAGTTACAAATGTCTGTCGTGATATTTTATGATGTGATCACCCAAAAAAAAAAGAGAAAATGCATATTTTTTGTTATTGGGATTTTATAAATATCATTGATGGTTCCATTAGAAAGCTGCTGGACCCTTTCTTTTAAACAGGTGTCCGACTGCAAATTACGTTTTTGAAATAAAAGCACACTATTTAGTAGATAAATGCAAAATTGTAGGAACATTTTAAATCTTTTTTTTTCCCAAACATTTTTACTTAAGACTTTAATACGCTCTGGAGTTAGCCAACACAGCCAACACAGGAATTTAACACTGGATAAGCTCCACAGCACTCAATGTTGATTCAGAATATAAAAGTCAACATTAGAAAATACATTTTAAACTATTTGATGCAGAACATTATATTTGTATATACTGTATACACTTTTTTTCTTGTTTTTATACATAAAATAATATCCATAACAACGTTTGAATGGTAGAAACATACAAACTATTTATAAAAAATTAATCATCCATATCAAACTATTTATAACAAACAAAAAACAAACAATCCATTTATAACAAACGTATTTTGCTTAATAAACTATTCAAAAATAAATGAGTTATACATAGCAAACCATCCATAACACACAAGAAACATACAAACTATTTATAACAAACTAATCATCTATAACGATCTCTTTGCTAAAGCTCTGATGAAATCACAAGTTCACTTCACCAAAAGCCCCAACATGAGGTCGGTAGCTACTATAACCGGACATGGTGGTCATGATGACGATTGAGGTTTTTTTTTTCTTCTAACAATGCCTCAACTTCTACCTCACAGGCAAAAGGGAGAGAGATAGGCCAGCTTTTAAATGTTTGCTGATGAATGGATTCCCCCTCTTCCCCCCTCTTCCTCCCACACATCTTCCTCAGGCAGGAATGTCTCCCCACACACAGTCGCTCTCTGAATACCAATCGGATCTGGATTCAGTTCAGCCTCTCCTGTTTCAGCTCTCACTCTCATTGTGTGTGTGTAATCTGCCACACACACACACACACACACACACACACACACACACACACACACACACACACACACACACACACACACACACACACACACACACACACACACACACACACACACACACTTTGTACTGTCAAGCTCCTTTCAAACCTGCACCCGCTTGTTGCATAAATGTGAGGCCAATTTCAAATATTTGTATCAGGACCAAAACCTCCACATTGATTTCCAGACATAAATCTAACGAGGTAGGACACAATTAAGTGTAAAAGCCACGCTTATTCAAAGGCTTCAGTAACAAGAAGTTCAAGACTTAAAAGAGAAATTAAATACATTCAGCCTGACTGGTGTATATATACACACAATCAAGTAATCACTTGAGAGACCTTAAGAAGAAATCAACCCTCACAACAGGTAATAATGAGGGTTATTATTTGTCTGAACAGCAACAATACTATTCATAACAGAGACAAAGACACAAATCTTCAATTTGTATTTACTCATTTTATAAATGTAATTACTTCCACAGCTCTACATCTGCCGAATGGTTTTAGAAAACAGGAGCAGAGGAGACGAGTCAGGACAGATACTGATCAACAACAGTCTCAGGGGCATATTTGTTAATGTTATTTATATCCTCCCCAGACGAGAAAGGGCAACATTCCCAGGAGAAAGGTAGGGAAACGTTCCTATCAGGAACCTAAGCTGCTGCATTAGCATACGTGTTAGTCATGTGCATGTTCATTGTGTAAATTTGTCCTGGAGCAAAGGGCTTTGACACAGAAGCAGCTCAGAACAAAGTGACCTGCTGCAAGCCCGGGCTGGATTTCAAAGTCCACAAAGAAAGCAGGGACACGGATCAATACCTGTAAAATATTCATTATTGGGATGAAGTCCTTAACAAAACATGTTTGCTTAGGAGTTATTTGATGAGTACAGTGAGAGTCTTGTTAAAGGGGCCCTATCATGCTCATTTTCAGGATCCTATTTGTATTTTATGACTCTGCTCCGACATGTCTACAAGCTTTAATGTTCAAAAAGCTCTTTATTGTTCTCATACTGCCTGTGCTGCAGCACCTCTTTTCACCCTCTGTCCGAAACCAGAGCCCAGTCTGCTCTGATTGGTTAGCTGGCCGGCTCTGTTGTGATTAGTCATTCGAATTAAATATGTCCTTCTCCTTACCACGTACAATGCGTTTCAGGCAGGGGGGGAGGAACTCAAGAGAAAGCACAACTTCCTGTCTCCCTCTCCCTCTCTGACCATAATGTCAACACCAGAATGGAAGCCAGCTGCTCCACTGATCGGAGTACAGCAAAGAGTTGGTAAACAATGACACCACAGAAGAAGAATGGTGTCAGTCCCAAACAGACTGCCACAGTGATGAAGATTAACTTTGATTTGATCTTCTTTATTAAACTATGAAGGTGGTATCTGACGGTCCTATATTTGGTTTATTTAGATGTGTGTATTGTAATGGTTCAGTTTAGTTTATCTTGACTTTTCAAATTCCTTTTTGTCATGTAACATCGGGGGACTAAACTGTGTATGAAACCTGAGCACTTTAACAACCAAATTGAGTATCTATACTATACAAATACTGAATGTTAACATCAGATTTCTGGTCAGATTCATAATCCTGTTGATTTATTATTCGACCAGATACATCCTGATAAAAAAACATCATACAGCGTTAGACTGTACTTCATTTAGTTGGAAGTGTTCGTACAGCTGCTTGTGTTTAAACAACATTTAACATTTGAAAACTTTAGCTTCTTTTCCTTGATATAAAAGTAAGGGATTGAAATAATTATTGTTTTGGTGTTCAAACTAAAACTCCTGAATTATTACAGAACTACTAATTAGATCAGTATTCAATTATACCCAGCTTTACAGAGCAAGTGGTTTAACATCAACATTTCATTTAATTCAATGTGTTGGAACAAAAGCAAACACTTAAGTGTCCTGAAGCACCAACGCAAACATGAAGCACCTTTATCTACACAGTATCTGTTATTAAGAGTGTACTAAACATTTCCGCCATAAGCCATGAAGGAAGTAATTACAGAAAAGTTTCCAAGTCCCGATAAAAATCAACTCAAAGTCTTCAGGGGAAGTGCGAAGCTGACAATTGAGCGGCCCGACCAAGCAAGGAGGCAGAGGCAGAATGTGAAATTATAACCCGGTGTGGGCATTTATTAAAATCATGTGCACATAGTTCACAGCCTCAATCCTGCTGTTCGCCCTGAACACATCCTGCAGCCACAAGGATCTCACACACACTCCCCTGGTTAACAGCAAAACCCCAGAGCCTAAATGCCCAACCCAATCAACCCAACAGGACACAGGTGAGGGTGGAGGAGACAACACAGGGCACCAGGTGCACACAATCAACGACAGACATGGGGGAAGGGGAACACTTTTCAACAACAACAAAACTAAACAACCCGTAACGGAGGCCGAGTTCTATGAGCCCAGAGATCACCTCCGTGACAGGAAGTCACAGCTGTCAGAAAATGTGCAGCTGAACAACAATTCAAGAAAAAGAGCAATAATGTATATATATGTAATAATGTAATAATGCTAATGCTTCAGCTAAAAGTCACTGAAGATTCATGACGAACATAAATCTCTTCTTGGGTGTCTGGACATACCGACACACTTGATAGATACACGCCCTGATGCCGATGTGTTAAACACAAACAGAGATAGGTTAAACACGTTTGACCAGTCGTGAAGCAGAAACAGGACAGTCAAACTTAACAGCTAGAAAGATAAAAGTAGTTAGAAACTGAATTGAGGAAGAAGAGCTCAACAATTTGGAAAAAGTTAATTGTTTTTTTTGACTGATATTTTAACTGCGCTTTGATTCACAATATTGAAGGCATTCGTAATTTTTGCATCATTATTCTCATTATCATTCACAAATATATGAAAGTTATCAGGGAGCTCGATGCTCGTGAACTGTCAACAGGAGGAGCCTTGCTGCGGGGAAGCAGTGTGTGGACCTCTTTCACCTGTCAGCGCAACTTACATGATGTGGTTTGAACAAATTTAAATAATTGGAGGAAAAGTAGCAGCAAGTCGACTGGAGTTAAAGAGAGCTGGGCTGCGTTGCGTGCATGGCTTCCTTCTGCAGGTAACGGGGAGACGCGCTCTGGCGGCGGTCTCGTTCAGGATCCGATGTAAATATTTTGCACACTTATTCCTAGTGTGCCACTGGTTACGGTGCCAGGGGTTGCAGACCCCTGCTGTAGACCAATCACAACAGAGCCGGCCAGCTAACCAATCAGAGCAGACTGGGCTCTGGTTTCAGACAGATGGTGAAAAGAGGTGCTGCAGCACAGGCAGTAAGAGAACAAGAAAGAGCTTTTTGAACATTAAAGCATTGAGACATGTCACAGTAGAGACACTGAATACTAATATGAACCTGAAAATGAGGATGATAGGGCTCCTTTAAGCGGATTTGTACAATAAGTCTGTAGAATATGATTTGTAGACTGAGATATAGTCAATATTCCAATTTCAATAGAATTTTGTACCGGATGTAATGATTACATCTAAAAATGTTCTGAAGTGTATTCAGCTGGTCCAACAATTTAGTTTGAGATATGTCAATTGTAAGCTGTCAGGTGGTGGCAGTTTAGGGTGTCGTTTGGTTTTATTGCATTATTGAAGCGTTTTTAATATGCTTTCACCATATAAGATCATTTACATTACTATTACTTCGTATAATAGTAAATCGTCATTAAATTTTTTCAAAATGTGTTTAGGGATAAAGTAGGCAGAGAGGAATAATCGAATAAAAGAAGCCCCCTTCATCAACAGGCTATCAGCCAAATAATTAGGATCTAATACAACGACCTGCAGTTGACCTCCTTAATGACAATTATGATGTTCTATATGTGAAGTTCTATTATTTTGTATTTTATTGGGGTGATATTGAGTGATGTAAGTTATGTTTTATGGTTAAAGGATATTTGAAATGTTAAAATATGCAATGAAGCCAAACCCCAAAATATCACCAGCAAAACCAACATACTATTTGCATATCTTAAATAAAAAACTGAAAATACTGTTTATGCAAAGTTTTTTGGAATGTATTAAGTATATTTCTCAAGGGGCAGTACAATCTGTATAGCATACACAGGGACAAGAGCTAAGGCACAATCACTTATATGTTATAAGGGAGAGATGGATTGGTGTAAAGAAAACTCAGATTTATCTTATGGCGACTGCTCAACCCTATCCAACAATGAACTCTACATTTGGAAGACATAAAATTAAAATCCACCGTCCTCCGCTTCTTTTTAGACTTGAGACTGAATACTCTGCATGTGTGTTTCAGTTTCCACAAAGATGGCGGAAACGGTACAGGACAATGTTATTTTTGTGTCAAGTGTCACTGACTAGAAGCAGGATGGAAAATCCTATTTAAACAGGAGGAACACACACACACACACACACACACACACACACACACACACACACACACACACACACACACACACACACACACACACACACACACACACACCTTAAATAGTGAGCTCATATGCTGCTGAGAAACACACTCACTTCCCGGTACAATCCTGACTCTCAGACAGACTCAACGCTCTGTCTGAGACACTGTAATATATTACATATATTTGTAATACTTTATTGTACCTTTCATGTAATAATTATTTGTGTGGTCTAGCTGTCTATTCTGTAAAGACGTCACCTATTTCCCCGCCTTAGGACTCCTCCTCTGCTGCCCTTACTTTTTTCCTCTTAAAAAACATTTTTATGATGGACTTTTCCATTCCCTTTAAACCAGTCATATGGTAAGTCATCTGGGATTGTGAGCTTTAGAAACAAAACGTGCTCAAGTCTGTGACAATCTGCAGGTCAGATTTAGAATCAGGCCTCTATAATTACACCTCTCCAAATACAGAGCAGAAGGTTTGCCTCCCAGCATGTCTCTCTATAATTATGTTATGTATCTGGTTTCAGTCGTCAAATCAAGCTAAATATCATAAAGAGTCACACATCATATAAGACTGAATTCATCATTGAAGAAAATCAACACTTAAAACTTCCTCATGAATATTACAGGACTTTCAAAAATAAAATGTCATTTTATGTGTATATTAGAAGCAACAGTTAGATAGAAGCATAAGATACTAAATTAATTCAATTATGTATATGCATTATTTGGAAGAAATAATACAGGAAATAAATCTGTAAGAGCACTACAAAAGAAGAAAATAGGATCAACAAGGTCGAGATCCATGAGAAACTACAGATATATTACAGGATTACAATGGGAGAATACAGTGAAGTACTAGGGGGAAAAGGACACAATGTTCCAGAAACTATATTATAGTATAGTAGTAGGAGTATTATGAGACAAATGCTACTCTTTTTGATCTAAGGTAATTCTATACAAAAAGTTTAAGAACATTAATACTTACAGACTACAGGGATTAAATAAATAAAAAACATTAAATAAATCTGAATATTATAGAAATACTATGCGAATATGATTATTGTAGAATACAGTAAAGTGAGTATATACATAACAAGGTATATGTTCAAGCATTTTAGAGCTACAACACTAGAAAATAATCACCTTCTAATTCTATAAATAATGAACTGTAAAACTGACTTTTGATAAAGTGAGTATATACAGAAATTGCAGATAAGGAGATGTCCTGCTTTTCTCTTTTTTATATCATAATAAACTTAATATCCTTAAGTTTTGGGCCAAAAAAAGAGAAACAGGTGTGGATGCATTATTTGTTATTATTTTCTGAAATGTTATAGACTAAACACTTATTAGATTAAGATCATATTGGACTTATAAAACATAAACTGGTATTGTAAGAGTACCACTGTTCTGACAATAGAGTAGTTGTGCAGAATACACAGAATGCAGGTCTCCCTTGAAAAAGAGATTGATGATCTCAATGGGATTGACCTGGTTAAATAAAGTTCTGAAATGAAATATATATTCTACAAATCTCTATAAAAGGTATTTAGTAAAACTGCTCTGTTTTTTGTGCAGCTCTAATGCTGAATTACTTCCAGACGATCAATAGTTGGTTCTTATCTTAAGTGTTTCCGTAGGAAAAAGTGAGGTAAAATACTGATGTGTGCAATACAATCAGCACAACACACAGAAAGTATCTCTGGGGATGTTTTACTGACTACAGGCTGCAAGAAGAATAATGTAGTAATAGGGATAATGTAAGATCATTAAAAACCTTGTTAATCTCTGTACAGGGAAATGAGGGTGGCACATCAGCCACACGATAAACTAGAATAGGTAAAACACGGATATCATGAGATGTAATAATACAGTAGAGTCCAACACAACACATGAAGTAATAGCAGGAAACGGTTAGAGAAAATAATTGTTCACTTAACCTCAATGAATAACTGCAGTCTACTAGTGGAATATTACGGGTTCAACTTAAGAGATAATAACAGAGATGAGTACAGTTTTGTTTAAAAACATACTAAAATGTGAACTGCAGACTCAGTTCAGAAATACTATAGATAAACTGTTGTAATAATATTATCAGAGTTTAAATTGTAGGACATTAACATTGAAACAGGCCAATTACCTTTCACACATTTAAAAAAAATATATGATAGAAATGGTTTATCGTGGAAACAACAAATAGTACAGTAATGTTATGAGATGACACTGTCTGGTATTAAGTCATAACTAAATACTATACAATATATTGTAGGAATGTATATGGTAAGGTGGAGGTTACACTACATTCCAATATGATAAAAGCAAAACAGATATTTAGAGGGATAGGCTATACAATAAAGTAGACGCACAAAAAAATAACTGTATGCTACCAGCAGAAGAATTGTACAAGATAAATACTACACAAATATATCAGATATAGTTCACCATGAAGAAAAACAGACAAACTAATACATTGTTCTTTAGAATGTCATAATAGGCTAGTTAAAATATCCATTTCAGTTCAACATGAAATAATACACATAAATTACATAAAACAGGAAATATCCATGTTTTAGAGGCTGCAATTGTTAGCATTACAAGTTAATTTTACGAGATTTACAAAAATTACTGTAGGCCTATGCTACCATCTACGGAATTGTACAAAATACAGTTAGGTATTAGTACAGAACAGTACAGTATAGTACAGATATTGGAACAACTGACAAATCAATCATTTGTGTCCAATACATATTCATGGTGCTATAATTAAATGAAACGCAAACCAAATAAAAAAATATATATATATATTCAGTTTAATGTTTTATCTCCATAGTTCAGTGCTGAACAAAGATGTTCCTTAAAAGTTTGCTTTACATTACTTAACGAATAATCGATTGTCAAGAAGTTGAATATTATTGTTCTGTCATTACATATTTTCAATATGACCAAATCTATCGATCGACAAAACGTACACACCAACTTAAGAATCACAAGAGTGGAGTAGTAATTTAAAAGTTAGAACAGGATGTGTACGCGACACTAACTGTAACCCGGGTTATAACGGTTAACTGTAAAACACGCTATAATTAAGTCGGCCTACAATGAGAGAAGCTACCAGCTAACGACATTACTAAAAGGTCACCACAGCCCCACTGTATGAACACTATGCGAGCATGACAAGAGTATCAAAGGAAGTTGTTAAGAGACAGAAAGTCTGAAGACAGTTTGTCCCCCCTTGACCTCCCCTCCTCCTCCCTGACTCTCTCTTTTCTTATCGGACACACACTCGTTGTCTTTCACACGCACAGAATGCATCAAACACGAGTGAAGCAGCCTGCAGCTACAGCGGCTGAATCTGCATGAAGTTTGCTGAAAACTTTCCAGAAGAAGTTACACACCAGGCACAATGCCACCCACACACACACACACACACACACACACACACACACACACACACACACACACACACACACACACACACACACACACACACACACACACACACACACACAACACACATCACAACACACAGCACAACACACACACACACACACACACCCAACAAGACCACGGTTTTAGCCATGGTTTAGTGACACACACTGACACGGCGAAAAAGCCAAGCGGTTTAACGGCACCAACCGAGGAGCGCACTCACAATTAAGGAGAAGCCGTCCCGGATGGTGTTTTCTTCTTCTCTTTGTGAGCTGCGTGCACAGGGCATAATGATGCAGAAGGCCCCGCCCACCAAAGGGGAGGACGGGGATGGGGACGAAAAGACGAGGGAAGGGAAACAAAAGATGGAGATTTTTGTTTTGGGTGTACGGGTTTTTAAAAACTCTATTACTGCGCGGGGTGTGTGTATTTCGTAGCAATGAGGGTATCTCTAAAATTAACGAACCTTTTTCAAGGAAATAAGTTAACATGATGATTTGCCCCAACACATATAACTTTGGCCGATTGTGGAGCAGTTATCGATAAGATGGCCTAAAAACTATTCAATCACTGGAAACATCTGGGATTAAACCAAAGGCTAGTGGTGCGCCACAAATTACACAACATATAATAAATTACAGCGTAATCACATTTCATACTTCTGTGGTTTTGGGTTGTATATGATTTTTGATTTTATATTTTCAAGTTTCTGCTAGGGTTGACTTGTTGAATGCGTTGCTTCTTTCTCAAAGTTGCCTCATGCTGTGATAGGTTATCACACATTTTTCCTTCCCTCCTGGAGACAAGTTGACTGATGGTGGATTCCGCTTAAGTTTGAAGACAGTACTAAAACACGCGTGCTTTTTAATAAGTGGGCGGGGAAACTTCTTGTAGAAGCAGTGCTGGAGTCACGACTCATGATAAGGCAGACACGGAGGATGAGCAAGGAGCGGTTTGATGTCAAACACTGATGCGTTTTTTAGGAGTTCCGGCCGGAGGATTCCCATCACAAGTCACAGCCAGTCACGCATCTGACTGCACGGAGAGTTGCCACGTCAATTCTGGAGCCCGCCTCTCTCTCGTTAACCTGTCTTAACTGGTCGCAGAGAGTAATCAACATAATTTTGAGAGATAGCCTAGACAGTCTTGGGACAGCTGAGTTACTTGCATCTGAAAACAACCTGTATGCCTCAAAATATTTCACACCTTGGAGTCCACAAACACGAGAAGGAAAAGTGTTTTTTTTCCCAAAGTGCGTTTTTTTACCCACAACAATAAACCATCTGTGACCTAGAGTTGGCCCGGTCATAGAGGTGGGAACAACAACATTATGGCTGGGGATAAGCAGCCCCGTTCCTTAAGGCGAGGTATAACAGAGTCAGGGCTTGGCTCATACACGTCAAAGGCAAAAAGGTTATGAGTCCAGTGAGAATTTTTCCCGTAACAATAAAGCAGTCTGTGTAATTATTGACAAAAAAGATGTAAGAATAAGCTAATACTTTAAAGTAGATAACATACGTCTAGTCACTTGAAAATTATAGAACCTATAAGTTAATGCCTGAAAAATGGTATGTATGCTTGTATTGCCCTATCTCAGTGTTCTAAGCTGATAGCAAAACATATGCAGTTGCTTAAATTACATTTAACCTTATTCTTTTAGTCTTGGTTGCGGTTCGATATATTGCCGACAAGCATGCCGGAAAATTCTGACGAATGTTTTATTGAATCATTTAGAATTGTACATACATTTGTGTTTGACGTTTGATTAAAAGTGGGATTTTTTCTTTTGTGTTCATGTGAAGCTAAACATATCAAGATTGTCAATGTAGGATACAAAGTATATCCTTACAAGATTTAAAAACATCAGACAACAAAGAAGAAGGTTCTGCCCCGAGGACACTCCCCCCCTGCCTTTTAAACGCGTCCATTTGCGACTCCTTTGTTTACTCCGAACATAGTGACTCACTATGCGTAACATTAGATACTTCTATTTGATAGCACTTTCAACACATTGTAGCCGTCGATAGGCAGCTAACCAATCAGAGCAGACTGGGCTCTGGTTTTTCAGACAGACAAAAGGCGTGCAAAAGACGGTGCCTGCCACTACAGCAGTATGAGAAGAATAAAGAGTCGTTTATTGAACATTAAAGCGGCATGTCAAACATGCTCACAGAGTAGAGCACAAAATAAAAATATGAACCCTGAAATGGAGCAATAAAGGGCTCGTTGAATGAATGCATAGCGACGGGCGTTTGACTAACTTTTTCCCCCCTCTTGAGTATGATCAGTTTTTTGAGTAATCTATTTTTCAAAGAAATCTGTAGTTGCCCTTAAAGAATAACCACAGAAGGTGTCTGAAGCTTTCCTCTTTAAAAATAGATTATTTTGCTTTTAAAACTCACCAGAAAGAGCAAAATTCAAGTTCAAGCTAATGTGAAGCTGGTTTCTTACATTCGGTAAATGCGAGCGTTGCCAGAGTAAAAACAAACGCTTTGCGTTGTGGTTCACATAGCTTCTGTACACGTTGCTGCAATGCGATTCCCATGTGTTCTGTTGTGCGAGATGATGAATAGTGAACAATGTTGACAGTGATATCAGTGAGGGTGAGTTGCGTATGTCGAACCGTTGCCACGGAGTCTGGGTCATCGATGTTAAACGTATGTTCTGCCACATGACAAGGCTGGTGACGGAGTAGGGATAAGAACACGGCGAAGCACGTTGTCAGTTTCGGGGAAATTTCAGGGAGGTGGTGCGGTGGGCGTACATATGTGTTAGGGTAGTACTGAGTATTGTTGTTCAAAGAGTGGTGTATTGTAGATTTTGGTGGGGGGGGTTGGGTGGTTGTTTGTGTTCGTTGTGTGTGGGTTTTTCGCAGAGTGGCAAGGATTTCTTGTAGTGTAAAGGATGGTACTAGTATTCTAATATCGGAGGATTATTAAGTTATTGTGTATGCAGTTTTTAGTTCGTCGAGGATTAAGTACTTTTACGGTTGAGACAAGTTTTGGGGCTCGCGATTGAGCTGTTGTCGGGGCATATTTGGAAGATGGGAGTGCGAAGCGAGAGAGCCCAGGGAGTGAGTGTGCTTGGAGTTTCTTTCAGCTTTAACAGTCATGGTACGATTGATGAATTCTACTGTGAATACAAGGCTGAGGTGTTATTGGGGGAGTACTAAGAAGAGTTGGTTAGCTATGATCGAGGGTGATATCAGGGTGGCGCATCGGGGTTAGAGAGCAGAGAGGTGTGTGAGCACGGGGTAATGGCAAGGTAGGGCTATTCAACTGTCATTAGGCAGAGTGGGGCCAATAGGCAAAAGTCGACTGGGGTGGCGTCTGTGGGCCGACACGAGGAGTACGTGGTTGTCGAAGAGATCGGGGGAGCTAGCAGAGATAGACTCGGTTGCTTGACAGTAGTGTAGATGACTAATTAGGGTGCCAACGGTTCACAGAATTCACGGGTGTCGGGGTACGTACCTCGCGGCTTTGGGCGGACCGGTTGTGCGGTACGAGAGTGTGCGGCGTACAAACAAGAAAAGCAAAAAAAAAAACCACTGTGAGTCCGACGCCCGCGCGCGCGGAAGGGTGGGCGGGCGGCCCACCTCGGCTCCCTTCCTGGTGGGTATAAATAGGGGAAGGAGCGGCCCGACAATCCGGGGCGCTGCCGGGGCATCACAACATAACTTTTCTTCAGCTGATTCGTGGAGCCAGTGGGGGCCGCAGCGCAGCCTTAGAGGCTTCGCCCATACTCATAGGAGCTGGGTGTGACAGTAGTGAAAGCGTGTGCAGTGTCTGATTTCGGGGGGTTATGCGGTGTCGACGGGCCGTGCTAAAGAGAGCTAGGTCGCGTGATTGGTGTAAGAGGGTGAAGCATGATGGTAGTGAGGTGCGCCCCGCCTGGGGGTTCGCGCCGGCGGGCTACGTAGAAGGCACAGACACACGCGGGCTGGCGGGGTCAATAAGCAACCCATGGCTGATTGGGCGACGATGGCGGTGGAATTGCGCGAGTGCGGCGCGTGCCCTGGGGGGAAGGCGTATAGCGAGAGGTGAACGAGGGGAATGAATTTCTCCGGGGGAGGGATGAGGGACGGGAGAGGGAGGCGGAACGGGGAAGTACGATACTGCGGCTGGCGTGAAGAAGAGGTGAGGAGAGGCGAAGGTTCGAGTACTTTGCCCGGAGTGACAAAAAGAGGGGGCAGCAGCAGCTCTCAGTGCGTTGAGGGATAGACAGCGAGAGGAGCGGCACGAGATTGGATTCCGTGATGAATCAGCGTCACGGGGGGGGGAGGGGGAAAGGGAGGGGGAAGTGGGGGGGTGTGAAGCAGGGAGCACGTGCGCGTGTTGGCCGAGAGAGAAGTGGTGGAGTCGAGCGCGTAAAAAAGAGGAAAGACGATGCCGTTCGATGGGAAGAGGAAAGAAGGGGCCGCTCTCGCGAGTGGGCGTAAGGAGGCAGGAAGAGAGTGCGCACAGGCGTGGGTTGGGATCGCGTGGACGTCCTCGACTCTGAGCGAGAGACACTCGAGGGTAGCAGGTGTGTCAGGCAGATGAGGGATGAGAGAGCGCGTCGAATGACAGAGAGGTTGAGGAGGTAAGGATGGAACAGGAAGGCGCAGAGAGCGGGCCAGTGCACAGGCGTGCTGTGCCGCGCGAGGCGAGAGGCGTCGCGTGCAAGAGAGCCGGTGAGAGGAGAGGTGGCGGGTCTGGCGGAGGTTTCGGCACTGATGTGGTCTCCGGGGATCCGGACCCGATGAGGAGACGAGTACAGGCCTCGTGGGCGTGCGCTGCGTGGTGGGGCTGTCCGGTGAGCGTCGGCAGGTATGCTATCGGTAGCTCTCTCTTGTTCCATGCAAGTCGGACTAAAGCGCACATTGAGGCGTCCGTTCAGAATGATGCTAGCAGGTCCCGTGTACTGGTTCCTCGTCCGGGTCATCGGAGCCCAGCGGGAAAACGGCAGAAGAGAACGAGCCGTGATTATGCGAGTTGTAGTAGGTGTCGCATGTGACGTGTGGTGATTTTTCATCACGGATGGATGACGATCTCGTCTGCACAACAATAAACAGAGGCGGGTTTAATATACTTAGTTGCGGTTGCAAAGTAGAATAGAGTATTGTAAGTCCGGATTTCGATTCGGAGAGTGCGTTTTTCTGAATCAACTTTACGTTTCTTGAGGCTTGGAGAGACTGTTTAAGCGGCAGGTTGACGGAGGCGAGACTTTCCCCGTACTTTGTCCGACCGTTATAGTCTCCGTGGAGTACGCCCTGGTATGACTTGCCGTTCACACAAGAAAGAGGTATTTATGCCGGGGAACTTTTTACCGCCCCCATGTTTAGATGCCTGCGTAGAGGAGGGTGGGGTACTGGATCCCGCAGTTCTGATGGTGGACTGAGGGGCGAATGGCAGACCGACGCCGCCGTAAAACTCTGAAAAGATTTTGTGAAGCCGCCAGATTGGTAGTTTGTGGGAGTAGCGTGTGATGAGCAGGTAGGCCCCCGCGCGGACAGCGGATAGAGAGAGTAGACTTATGCGGACAGGCAAAACAAACGATGGGAGCGGAGTGGAGGGATGAGAGTGGTCGGGCGAGTGGTCTGAGCACGAGAGTTCGTGTCAGACTGCGGAAGGCTTACAGGTAGAAGCTGGCTGGGAGTCCCAGCGCTTGGCTAGGCTGAAGCCGCAGACTCACCAAGCTCCGGGACTTGCCGGGGGCGGCGAGGTATACGCCGTGAAGTGATTGTCGGGAGAGGGGGGGCCTGCCGGAGGAGAACCCAAGCAGGGAAGAGAGACGAAGGAGTGACACTGCAGCGGGCGGTCGCATGTTGTGTGAATCGTTCCGTCGAGGGAAGAGAGGG